TGAAAGAAGAAGAAGAAAAGTCCCTGTTCAATTCAATTCCAGATTCAATGCTTGGAATTTGTCTCGGCGAGCTAACCCAAACATAGACAAGAAGAAATAATAATTTACACTCACACAAACTTTCTAGGAAATTTGGAGGAAGGTTGTAACTATGGCCAAGGATTAACCCATTACATTTTGTGGATCCAGACAAATTGGCAATTCCAAGAATTTCTTGCATGCATTTTCTTTTTTTCATCCCTAATCTTATTTGCAATGCACCGTCAAGAGTGAAACAGAAGAGAAGGGTCGCTACTTTCCCCACCTGCTTTCTATGGCCAACTCTAAAAACAGCTCCGTGAGAACACAGTGTGAATAACCTTTGAACACACAGTCTGACCAGTAAACAATTTACTGGTCCGGCTTCGACCAGTCTACACTGACCTCCCCCATAACCCATGAAAATGAGACTCAGCCAGCAGTCATCACTGTGATCTCCTGTTCTCTGAATACCACGAACCTTGAGTCAGTGCTGTGAGACAACTAATCTCTATTACTCCATGCTCTTATTCTATTAATATAATCAGCCATTGCGTCACATAAAGGTTAGTAGAACAAAGTGGAGCAGCAGCCCTCCTCATTCACAGACCTGTTCACCCGTGAACTTTGATTATAACCTTAATTCAACGAGACATTTAGTGAGAGGAAGGACAGGAAAACAACTCTAATGTGAAGTCAAATGTAATTACTATAGATCATGTTTGCTTGTTTTTTTCCCTTTTTTAAATATTTCTTAAACATCAAATCAAAGACTTAGGGCCTTGCTTGCTTCTGGAATAATAACAGTATGACACTGGGAAAACAAATGCATCCACTCCACATACCAGGAATGACTCAGCTGTTTGCAGAAACAGAAAAATGAGCTGCACACAGAGTCTGTGTCTCCCAGTAAATTTAGTGACACATTTTCATCAAAACTAATCTCAGGTGATTGCAGTTTCCATGGAAAGCAACAGTAGGTATCAGAGTCTCATATACATCCAGTCTGTTGGAACAGGATGTTCTTTATAATCTAGGGCTTGGCTAAGGACATAAAAATGCCTCTAACGTTGTGCTACATCACCCGTATTTCCCAGAGAGCACATGGTGAGAAGATCCTGTCACCCTCTGACGCAGTCCAGATGATAACTGCCCCAAAACAACAATCTGTGAACTGTTATTCCAACCAACCATCAGGCAACACATGGAACACCTTTGAACGTGGTACATGCGGTGCGAGCCAGATGTTCGACATATACACTGTGTGGGGATTGTGTTGGCGACTTGTACAGATAGGAGGGAAGACTTTGGTTAAAATGATGAATGAGATGACTGCAGGATAACACAGAGGAAAATATCCAAATTGACTTGGCTTCACTTGCAGGATGAGACTGAACAGAACACAAACCAAATGTAAAGAGCTGAAAAGCAACGGCAAAAAATAGGCAGAAAATCCACAAACAGGTAAACTGACAATGGAGAGACACAAAATGACCATAGAAACACAAAACAACTGGGAAAATTGATATAAAAAGACCACAAAGAGATATAAAATGGCCGCAAAAGAATAAAACAACCACAATTTGACACAAAATGACCACAGAGAGATGCAAAACAACTTTAAAGAGACAGGTGAATATAGGTACACAACATGATCATAGAGATGCAAAGAAACCACAGAGATGCAAAAATGACGATGACAACAAACACATAAAACAACTACAGAGACAGGTGTGAGGTATATATATATATTTGATTGTTTAATTGGATGACTCAGCTGAGAGGGTGTGATTTAAAGTGTATACCTTGTGTCAGTGCTGATTGAATAAGATGATGATTACACTGGCTAATAAAGGCATCTTCGTACCAATTTTAAAGGAAATGTTTGTTCACTGTCACCTCATCCTGCCCTCCTCTGCCTTTCATAATCAAATGAACAAGTCTGCAACATGATCTGTTGTCATAACACACTCTTTATGTAACTGCATTTACTATCAAATGTCTCCCATTGAATAACAGTGACTCTGGCTGAATGGTAGCTAAGTGTAAAACTGAAGATTCCAGTGATCATAAACACACCTTAAAGCCTGCAGGGGTTTTTTCTCGTTATTATTACAGATTATAAGTAATGATTATTGGATTATTCTTGAAAGGTCACCAGCAGCAAACTCAATCTCCTGCTCTGCATTTTATATTTCTTTCACTTCTCCGATGCAAAAAGAGGCTTTCAAGAGACAGTTTTAAAAAAAGAGTCAAACCAATGCAGCACAGGTCAGATATGCTGCCTTCCCCCCCTCAAAAACTACATATCCCAAATCAATGCAAATTGATTTTACTTTTGACCCTTTGTGCCTGCTAAACATCCACTCCACCTGTTTGTAACACACACGTTCTGTTATAAATGCATCATCTTAACCACAGGATAATATATTATATTTGAAGATAAAATAAGATAAGATAACCCTGATGACATCACTATGACACCTTAAGGGTCACTTCCTCAGACTCTTTCAGAGCCACAGAAGCTGTTTCACTGGCTAAAGAGCAAATATGGTGAGTAAACTGCACTTTTTGTGGACAACTATTGGAGTGCCTCTTGAAATAATTTTACGTGTGCACTGCTGCCACCCTGTGTTCAATTCATTATTGTTAGTCAGAGGAGGATATGAATGTGGAAATGTACAATATCAGTTACCTCAGTAATTTTACCTCAGCTAGAAAAATGTGTCTATCCTGACGTGAATTTTATGTCTTATGTCATTCCCACTCATCTCCTTAGACAATTTAGAAATTATCCTGGTTAGCAAATATTTAAATAAGTCACCATTTGAAAATATAATAAAATGCTAGCGCCTCAGATCAACAGTGGTCATCTTTAACTTTTGGTTGTCTTCTTTTTTGGGGGTATTTTTGAGGTTTACAATCAAATGTTAGCTTCAAAGTGGCATGATTCCCTGATGCATCACGCTGACCGAATAAATGCATTTAAATTTGTGAGTCAAAAACAACAAGACAAGGTTTAGCAGGTTTTGTGTTTTGTAAAATTGTGTATGGAAACTTTTGGTTTGAAGGTTCCCAAAGAAAGTAAGAAATCTTTTTTCAATCAGTTTTCCTTTTTAACTGAACTGTCTCTGCATTCTACCTTTTCTCTTAAAATTTACATAAAAAAAAGAGATTCACAATGTGTAAGTTTTATTTGTGACCAGTAGAGGGCAGTAACGCATCGCCCTCAGAGTTAACATGCGAGCCAACCAGGAATTGAAATCAAAGAAGAAGAGTCGTTCCAAAAATAATCACAGCAGCAGAAGAAGAGACAGCCGCTAGCCGTTAGCTCTACAGCCCAAGCTACCTAGCGTTAGCTGATATTCATCAATGCCCGCTTAGCGTCGCAGCTGGTGTCGAAATAAAATCCTATGCTGCGTCAGAGAGGGGGGGAGACATTAAACAGTCCCTGACAGAGACCCAACGACAACATGGAGAAACAGTTGCACCTGAACCTGTTAGCTTCCAGACCTCCTATGGCAGGAGGTGTTCAGTCCAGCTCCAAGATGAGAATGGGGTGAGTTGGGATTTTAATCGTCTCGGACATTTAATCCACCAACACATCAGCTGCTCTCTGATCGTGAATATGATGCTGTCCTGTATATGTGCGATGTGTCTGAGGACAGCTGAGCTGTTAGCGTTAGCAAGGCTGACTTAGCTACTGCTGCTAGAGTTATTGCTGGCGGATTAATAAGTCTTCTACAATACGGACATGTACCTGGTTTACCCAGCTGCTTTCGCATATAAGCGCTTTTATAACTATTAGATATAATATAATACATATTCAGGTTGTAAATATATGCATTAGCTTAGGTCTGTTAGGATGCACAGTGACCATTCATGGCAAGATATCATAAACAGTGTCTGGAGATATTAATCTTAGTAAAGTTAGGTTAGATTTAAAGGTGAAAAGGTCCCTCTCCAGGGTTCAGGGGCATGTTTACTTGACATTTAGAAAGCCAATGTGTAGTTAAAGCTTGTTTACACCACTGTGGTTTAACAGATGATTAAACAAGTTTGTGCTTTTATTAAAGATGAACCCATATTTTACATTTCACACACACTTTCTCTCTCTCTCGAATTTCAAATGTTGTCAAGCTTTGAATATCTTTGTCCATTTTTAATCTGTACCAGCTATTTCTGTCTGTATAGTGTGATCATGTGTACGTCATCAGAAAATGACTGTGTGTCTTAATATTCCTGATGTGATATGAGATTCATTTACATTTTGGTTGTATGTCTCTGTCATACAGACCTGGTCGGAAGAGAGATTTCTCCCCGCTGCCCTGGAGTCATTACTACGAGACCATGGAAGACGTTGAGGTGGAGAATGAGAATGGCAAAGATATATCCTTGATTTCTGCTTGTATATGGAAAGTGAACAATTAAAAACTCAAATTCTGGGTGTGGCCGACAGTCACATGCAGCCTTTGATTCTACAAGATCAATTCATATTTAGCTTCTTCGTTATACCAGTGAGTCATCAAACTTCAGTGTGGTACATTTGATGATAATGTTTTTTACAGCTCATGTTAGCTCTTTATTTAGCAGCCCTTTTAACTTTGCTTCCTGCACAGCTCTCGTTTGCATTTCCTTAACCGCAATGAACATTTTCAGAATTTACTGCAGTGGTTCCCACGGTCCTGTGCTGCTCCTGCTCCATGGAGGAGGCCACTCTGCACTCTCCTGGGCAGTGTTCACTGTGAGCATAACTACTATTACTAAAGCCTTCCAGCCTCTTTAATTTGACAAAGGGGATGTTAAAATTCAGACCCATCAATGTGAATATTTATGAAGCTGCTTTTTTATTTCATTATATTTGCTCTGCCTTATTTGATGTGAATGTTTTCACGTGTGTCTTTGTAGGCCGTTATATGCAGCAGGATCACCTGTAGGGTGGTGGCTATGGACCTTCGAGCTCATGGTAAATATATGTAGGTAGTCGGAAGACACAACATTAGTCACATACTTAATTCTCAGTTTTAAAATAAAGATTCTGATGGAGATTAGTCAGTTTGGTCAGGTGTTGTGGTTAATCCTCTTTGAATAACACTTTGCAGGAATATAAACACAAATAGAGTTTTCAGACATGACCTTGGCTACAGAGTCTACCCACATTTTGCCTTTCACACATGCACAACACAGTGGGAGGTTTTCTGCACAGAAGTGCTCACAACAGCATCAAATTCTCTTCACTATTCAGACGAGAGGTGAAGTAGCCAGGTGCAGCTGGCAGAGACAAGAAGTGACGAATTATCGCTGCTGCGTAGATCATGTGATTTGGTTTACAGCACCCCGACACCGTGGTTGACTCTCATCACCACAAACTTTCTTTGTTGGTGATTTCTGTGTATGATGCCGCTTTTTCACTTGCTTATCACTTACATAATTTGATATATGGTTATATATCAATCTTTTTTTCTCTGAAGCAGAGATTTAGTAACAGCAAATTAATAACAAACTCCCTTCAATACATTTAGATTTTTTACACGGCTTTATTACTAAGCATAGAAATGTCTGTAATAAAGTATGTTGATGACATTGTGTCATCGACTCCAGCTGCATCTTCTGGCTGGTCATTTTGTTTTTTTATTAGTTCTGGTGAAATTTGCTTCTTTCTTTACCTGCAGGTGACTCCAAAGTGAAAAATCCTGAAGATCTCTCTGCAGATACGATGGCAAAGTAAGTTGCCGTGTGCAGTTAAGACAGACACTGGGTGTGTGAGAACCACTCACGCTTTAAAGATATTATGGGATAGTTCACCGAAAAAATGAAAATTCACCCATTATCTACTCACCCCTATGCCAATGGAGGGTGGGTGAAGTGTTGAAATGATTGGCTGCAATGCTGTTTACCTCTGAAACTCCAAAAGTGTTTTGTGGACTCAAACACTTCACCCACCCCTCCATCGGCATAGTGGTGAGTAGATGAGTGAATCTTTATTTTTGGGTGAACTCTCCCTTTGAACATTGTAGCCTTGCATCATAATAACGTAAGTGAAACCGTTGAGTGCAGCATGGACCATGTAATGTGTCCCGTAACATGGTACATGTGGAGTCAGGCATCAGTCCGGTGGTTTCCTCAAGAATTAGTCTTGATATTTTTCTGTTCATATGTATAGAAACACTGACATTAAAAGGTTTATGTTTTTCTTTCATAAGGGATATTGGCAAAGTGATGGAGGTGCTCTACGGAGAGAACCCTCCTCCGATCATGATTATTGGACACAGCATGGGTGGGGCCATTGCAGTTCACACAGCCATTGCCAATCACATACCATCTCTGCTGGGCCTCTGTGTTATTGACGTTGTAGAAGGTAAGTGCTCACTCTTTGTCAAGTTGGTTCATCATAGATAGATAGTTATATAGTTAACAAAGTTGATTTAATTTAATTTAAAATATATATGATAAATATTTATATTGACATAAAAGTACATTATCGGTCAGTATATTGACGACAGTTCCATTTGTACATTTTATTCAGGTACAGCGATGGATGCTTTGAACAGTATGCAGAATTTCCTCAGAAGTCGGCCAAAGACATTTAAATCTCTGGAGAACGCTATTGAGTGGAGGTAAACAGGTTATTATAATACTCTCCTGCTATTTGGTAAATGTTAGCTAAACAGTGTCATAACCATTATTTACTAAAATCAATAGAATTCTTGTTAAACTAGCATTTTTTGTTTGTTTTTTTAAAATGTATTTTCTTGAACAGCTTCAATTTGTTGGTCATGCTCAAAATTGTTCTTTTGCTTTGCGCTCAGTGTGAAGAGTGGCCAGATTCGAAACGTGGAGTCAGCACGTGTGTCAATGGGAGGCCAAGTGAAGAAGTATGTTTATTCTCTCATTTGCACATCAACTGCTGCATAGGTTTGCAAGTTTCATTAACCTCTATGCTGACATCCACAGATGTGAGGAGACAGCCAGCAGTCCTGGAGTCTCTAATAGCATTGAAGGTATAATAGAAGAGGACGAGGAGGAAGAAGCAGAAGAAGAATCCAACAAGAAAAGGATGAAGGAAGATGATCAAGAGGTGCTGCTCCTCCCTGTCCTTGTGTTTTTTTGTGTAACATGAACACTATGTGTATGAAAAGTGTAAAGTAGGTTAAAAACTCCCTTAAAGGGTTGATTTTGCTGATACAGATGAAAAAGGAAAGCATCTTCACCTGGCGAGTGGAGCTGTCAAAGACAGAAAAGTACTGGGAAGGCTGGTTCAGAGGCCTCTCTGCTCTCTTCCTCACCTGCCCTGTGCCAAAACTGCTTCTGCTCGCAGGTTAGGTCTAACACTTATTATTATTTCATACAGCATACATAAAATATACATGAGCTCGAAGTTCTGAGGGGATTTCAGGGCAGTCCCACTTGTTTAGAGGAATACAAACAATTGAATTGAAAGTTATTTTGCCTTTGGTTGCACAATTTCACCCCTGATGTGTTCCATTGTACAGGAGTGGACAGGCTGGACAAAGACCTGACTATTGGACAGATGCAAGGTAAGGAGAGCAGATGGAGAGCTACCAGTTTCTGTTTCTGTTTGATTGTTGTTACTGTAGAGCAGAGCACACAGACTTCAATCATATCCATGACGTCACTATTTGTCCACAGGGAAGTTTCAGATGCAAGTCCTCCCTCAGTGTGGTCACGCTGTCCATGAGGACGCACCTGAAAAAGTAAATAAAAATCTGCTGTCCTTTACGTATTGTCCTATGATGTTTGGTTCAAATAGGTTTTATGCCTCCATGCTGGAGCAGCAGCCAGTGGCTGGAGGGATTATGTTTTGGGGTTGTCTGTCTGGCCCATTCTTGTTAGCACGATGTGTCAAGAACGCCGTGAGGGAATTTCTTCACTTTTGATACAAACATTAAATTTGACTTGCAGACAAATTGATTAGAATTTGGTGTTTCAAGGTCAAGGTGGCCTCACAAAACCTCTTTTGCCTTGTGAACACATTATTTTAAATAACGCCTCAAGAGAATCCTGTGAAATTTTTAATTGCCGGTCAAGGTGACCTCACAAAACATTTTTCTTGCCTCTTGAGCATTATATCTCAAATCTACCTTGACAGAATCCCTGTTGTCTTCCCCTTGTTATTTATAGTTTATTTGCCCTTTGTTAAAACTTAATCTTCTGTCATTTGTTTTTAGGTAGCAGATGCTCTAGCAACATTTATGGTCCGACATAAATTCACTGACTTTAAGGAAGGATATCTGTGGTAA